GGGAAAGAGAGGAGCAGGAGCAGCAGATGGGCAGGGCAGCATGGAACCGGACCTGTCCCCAGACTGGAAATGTGCCCTGGAAGAGTTGAAAAGGCTAATTCCAGCCTGGCTGGGATCCCCCCTTGTACCAACCTGCACTGCTCAGGTTTTAGCTCCTGTTCTGCCCTAAGTCACAGCCTACCAGCACCGGTGCTGTCTCCCACATGCCTGCCCCCTTTCACCCCATGATGGCACTTCTGCACCTCACCTAACCAGAGCGCCAGCCGGGCAGGGGAAGGAGGGAACCACTTCTCCAAGCCCTGAAGCAGCAGGATGGCTCCCTCCTGCCCCTTGCATACCCTTTGTAAAATGGGGACCCAGAATAGATTGCCACAAGGGGTCAAATTCCCCTTCTGGCAGGGGGGCTGCTTACCATGCCCCCGTGCATATGTCATTGTGCTGCAGCATGTGGTGAGCTGTCCATCACCAGAGGCCCCTCTACCCTTTCCAGAGTCCCTGTTTTTCAGGGGCAGTCCCCCACCCCAGGGCTTTGGTCCCAGCTCGGGCACTTGGTAGCAGGCTGGACTGTGAGGCATTTTCTTTGCTGCTCACTGCTGCCCAGCCCCAGCAGTTACACCACAGAATAGCATCACTGACAGGCTTCCCTCAGTGATAACTGCAGCAAGTAGTGTCAAGATGGGTCCCCGCCAGCCTCCCATCTCCTGCACACTCACACTGCTCCTCCTTGGTGTAGTAATACTCCTTGTCGATGAGGGTGCTCTCCTCTGCCGCGTGGGACAGCAGCTCAAAGGAATTCATCACCTCGATGTTCCGGCCCTCCTGCCGCCCGATCAGTGCCCCAATCACTGACAGAGGGAAGCTGTGTTATGGGCCCAGGGGGGCTGACTGGGGACCTCTTAAATCAGGACCCCCACAGGCCTGGCACTCCTACCCCATCAAGGACTCATTGCTTCCTGAGCTGCTTCCTCCTTCCCTGGCTCAGTAGGGAGCATGTGGGGCCCTGGTGGGGGGCAGATTTGCTCTAATCTCTGGTATGGCATGAAGGCAGAGGCATGCAGGTAGGGTCAGCTGCTTGAGGAAAGGAGGAGGAGGAAGAGCTGGGACAGGATTCTGGGGCGTGTATCGGGGACGGGGGCGTGGCCAAGCAGAAGGAGCTGAGCCAACGGCAGAGTATGAGTGGGGAAGGGGCGGAGCTTCTGGATGAAGGGGGCATCAGACTGGGAACAGGTACCATGCTAGCCACGCAGGACCCAGCTGGTGTCATGACATGGGGATTGTGGAAGTTTTATTCTCTTTATGATGTTGCAGGTAGGTTCTACTGTCCTATAGTAACCCTGTGTGTGTGCCTCAGTTTCCCTGAGCACTCTACTAATACGTAGATGAGGATGAGAATTTGGGTGACAGAGCCTCCCCCACATGCAAATGGCTGATGCCTTCTGCAATCTGAACCCAGGAAGGGGGTGTTATCAGGTGACACTTTTTGCCTGGGAAGAAGACAAAGGCCAGAGGAGGGGCCTGGCTGGGGGGCATGGGACCAGGAGCTGGGAATGGCTTGCAGAGCTCCCCCTCCTCTCTAGATGGATTGTGCTGGCTGCTTCTAGTTTCTGGGGTAAGAAGTCTGTTCTACGCTGCATCCCTGTCAGTTATTAAACTTTCTGTCCTACCTACTGGCTGAGAGTCACTTCTGGTTGAGGATGGGCATGGGGGTGACTACCCCATAACTTTCAGTGACACTAGGGATTGGGCGCGTGGCTGCCTGAGCTGGTTAGGGGGAGGGGAGCCACTGTACTGGGCAGCTGCCCGAGTGGGGGAAGGGCTGATACCTTGCACAGGGTGGGGGGGCTGCCTGGGCAGGGACGGGGTTGATACCTTGCACAGGGCGTCCCTCCTGTGAGCGCATGCGGATCCAGTGGTCAGAGATGTTGAGGATCACGAGTGGGTGCAGGGCCACAGAGACGCTGCCCGTCACACCTGAGGCCATCACGGTGGGAAGCACTGGGGGGAGAGGCATGGTCAGTGGGGTGAGGGGCAGGAATCACAGAATCCCAGGGCTGGCAGAGACCTCAGGAAGCATCTGTCCAGCCCCCTGCCCAAGGCAGGACCAACCCAACTAAATCATCCCAGCCAGGGCTATGGGAAGAGATGGGGGAGGGTCGGAGCTCCAAAGAGAAGGGGGCGTGTATCGGGACGGGGGCGTGGCCAAGCAGAAG